TTTTTTTCTTTTTTTTTTTTTAATTGTCCTTTTTCAAGTCTACCATAACCTAGAGTAGAACCAACTGAGAGTTTGTTACATGGTAATTATAGTATAATTATAAGTCTGATTTTTAAGGGTTCAGAGAAAGCAAGTTTTAACCTCTCACCTAAGAAGATCAACAGGAGATACAATTTGCCTTTGAACTAGTTATTAACTTTGAAGCCCGAAGTTGGTGGTACACACTTTTCCAGTCAGAGGTAACATCCAATGGCTGAACACGAAATAGAAATTTCCTGTTTCTTCATACATAAAGACCTTGGTTCTATTTACACTCCTACCTGTTCTAAATATGGAAACAGTAATGAAAAAAACCACTGTTGAGAAAAGTTACCCGGTGGAAAAATGGCTTTTTAAAAAAATACATCATGCCTTGAGAACTTCATCTGTCTGAATACAGAAATGTCTTGAAACTGTTTTAAATTGTCTGATTTGTGATTCTGTAAACTGTAGCCTGAGGAGCGAGAGGTTACAATGAAAATCAAGTTTTGGTTCTCTGCCTTGCATGATGACTGGTAGAAGAGAGAGACTGAGCAAGCTTCAAGAAACAAAGTTCTCATCTACCAAGATCTTTAAAAAGCCAAAGCCTTTATATTTACCTACACTACCTGTCGTCATTGTGCTTTTGTTGCTATCTGTCAATATTAGCTCATATGTACACCAGTGAAAATACAGTACTAAATTTTCTAAGCATGAACCATCCCTAAAAATAAAGAAACCAAAAAATATTATAGACTTTTGGGGATAGAATACATTCTACATTACACGCTGTGAGTATACATTATGCGATTGTATCAGTTTCAGTTTTCACAATCCACTGTGAAATGCAGGAGAGCATGATCTTATTGTGTGCCTGGAGATTACAATAGATTTTAAATACAGTTCTGTAAAGGGTGCAGAGGAATGTTCTCTTCCTCGGAGCAGGAAATTAGCAGACATCAAAATACATGACTTTTCATTAGAGGAAAAAAAGGATTAAAGAGATTAAAGAGAAAATACGCACTTTGCCATGTAGTTCTAAAAAGTTATTGCTGCTGTTACACTTATGGAATGGATGGATCTTTAGCTTTAAGCAAGTTGTGCAATTTAGGGATCGCTGTATAAAAGAATGCCATATGTAATCTATCAGAGTTCCAGAAATAAGTTTCTTACAGCATTCACCCATTAACTCATTTCCTTGAAAAGTAAAAGGATCACAAACAGAACAAAATCCAGGCATTAAATCTCATGTGCTGTCTTAAAAAAGGGGAGAAGAGTTATAAAATAAACCCTAGAGTATGCCAAAGCATGAGAATTTGCTAAGATTCATCAAATCAGGTGAAAACAATGATAAAGATACATGCCAAAATGGGAAATAAGGAAAGAACAATAAAAGTAGATTAAAAAATGCGTTCGATTTTACAGGCTTTATTTGAAGTTAATAACTCCTTTTTTTACAGAAACAAGTTGAGGCATTTACCTGTTTCTTTCAAATAGACTAAGACGAAAATCATATCTTTTTTTTTTTTTAATTTTAGATTGCGTGTGATAAGTTTTGTGGGGCAGTAGCTCCCTTATGCCCACTGCAAAACAAACTTCTGTATAAAGGCAGACAAGACATGGATAGTATTGCACTTGACATCTGAGTCTTGTATCCCAGATTCATTACCCACTAACTGTATTACAAAACAAAGTTGAATACAATCTGGACATACACAATACAGGCTAACACGCAACTTTTATAAATGAAATGCAAAATAATCTATTTAACATACAATACTGAAATTACCATTCTACATGGTGTAAAAGATACACAAATACCATCAAATTGCTAATGATTATTCTTTTATTCAGTTTAACTCTTCAGTGAATAGAAGTATTACTATTAAAAAATGTTTTGGCCACTCTCAAGGTCCAGCCTCAGGTCAAAACAATATTCATGAAAATAGCAGAAAGACTTTTTTGTCCCACTCACCACACACAAACCCACTTATAATTCGGTGGAGGGAAAAAAAAAAAAGAAAAAGATGAACTTTGGTACAAATGCTACAAGATAAAAATAATATAGTTAATAAAAAAAAGATGAACACCGCTCTTGTTTCTAGGGTGAATGCCAAGTAAGATCTTTAAAGTTCTTGAAATCTGGGAGTTTAGTCAAAACTGATGATTTAAATTACTGGTGTTAAAAGGAGGGCTCGTACGAATGAGCCTAGTTCTTTGATATCCCTCAATAATAGAGACCTTCCTCACCAAGCCCTTCTATTTTCTCTCTTCTGATGAGTTTTTAATTATTTCAATGATTTTCATCCTGATGATTTTGAAGGTGCACAGAACATTTATAGTTGAGTCAGTCACAGCAGGGAAATTGCCAAACGTACTGCCTGGTTCCCATACATCTGTGATAATTTGGAGAGAGATTGCTAGGAGGAATAATTGGACTGTGAACATTGTCTACATACCAAGTTGGATCTTTGCTGATGATCAGAAGATGCAAGTGATGGGAAGAGAGTGAGTAGCTTTGTGAAATGAAATCTCCTGTAGGAACAGGGAATGCAGACCACCAAGTGTTTGATACGAAATGTGAACACCACTTTGTTAATAACATTTGAATACCGAAATGTATTTCAATATTGAAATGGGTGACCTACATAAGAAGGGCTTTCAACCCTAATATTGAGCAACAGAATCAGCCTTCTCAGAAACAGAACTTGAAAGGTATTTAATAAACAGTATAGATTTTTATTACTTTAAAAGTAATAAAAATATTTTCATTCCTTTTAGAGAAAGTTCGTCATTTGATGACTTCTATATGAAAAACAATAGAGTAACAGATAATTTACATGGGCAAACCCCAGATTTCCCTAGTCCCTTGGGCAATCATGACCCAAGTGGAATCGGACAGAATCCAGGAGCCAGCTTGGCCTCCCTTGAGTTTATCCATGTTCCAGGGAAACAGCATTTGGTCCCACATGTAACTTGCACTGACACCTGTGGGAGTCTAGTGGTTGGAAGGGCCACAGATGCAAGCCTTTGCCTGTGCACAGTTTCCACTATGAGATATGTGGGAGTTCTGAAGAGTACAGATGTGAACGTGTAATTAATCTGTTCCAGTTTGAAGACAGCTATCATTTGCTTCACACTGCAATAATTTTGTATTTAATATGTGGCTATAGCATCACCTTCTTTCCAAAGGCATCTGATACCGTTTATTTCTCTTTGCACAGAAATATATACTATAGGTTCTAATCCACTAATAGACAGTATTAACCAGTTTGTTTAAACAAAACAATCTTTGTAAACCAAAACTAATAGTTTCACTGAAACTAGATCCTCATCTGTAGCCATTGACTCCAGTAGGCTTTGGATCAGGCCCTAAAACAGGCATGTGTTTGAGCTAGCTAATATATCAGTCTCACATCCAGGAATTGCAGAGGATATAGAGACTGAAGTTGCACAGACTTTGTAAATATTTATTACAAAATGGACATTGAGTTTTGTAGATCAAATATATAATTTACCATAGGGAATGTACATAATTATTTATCTGTGACTGTGTTGATGTAGCTTTGATTTCCCAGTCTTCTTTGGTAAGTACATTCATATATATATTTTCACTATCTGTTCCAGAGTACTAAAAACTGCAGAGGAAAAGTGATACTAAAAGTAAAGTACATTACTGTTAGTTTAAAATAGCCCAATGTTGTAATTGTTTATGCCAGCATGTTAGCTGATGTCATTGGGGCTTTTTTTTTTCCTAGTGCTGTGCATGATAACAGCATTACACTTTAAGAATTCATGGCAAGTCACTAGTAACTAGCTAAAACTGAGATTTAAAAATCCTTATTAACGTCATGGATATTAATATGAAGTGGAATCCATAGATCTGCTGCTTAGTTTGGAAAAAAAAAAACCAAGCCTAATACATTAGTTCACACACGAATAAATGCTTTGGCTGCTGGGCATTGAAAGAACCTCACAATTTTGGGTATATCAACAAAAGACTACTGTCTTTGTGTGTGATACTGAGTCTTTGTGTGTGAAATTTTCCTGCATGTAAAGGGCTCCTGCAGCAGTTCATGTAATGGCCCAGCATGTGAGGTTTATTTTGAGTGCCCAAACAGGATGTAAATGGTGAAATGGAGTTCTGGTAATCCTCTGGTGTAAAGTTTCTCTACCGGGGTCTCTAATTTACAAATATTTCTCTTTTGCTTTGGATCCTCTCCACTAGAATGTAAAGGAAAGAGAAAAAAAAAAAAAAAAAAAAAAAGGTAGTTTATGCCTGGAACAGAAAACAACTCTGTAAGTGAATAGGGGCTTGGTTTAGCTTTCCCTGATATAACCCCAGGGACTGGGTTCTTAAAGAACATGAAACAGCAACGAGGACAAGAAAAGAGGGAAACCGGACAAGAAGAATTAGAGAGGAGATGTTTCTGTATACCTTAAATACAGAAGATAATACACAATAGTGCTACTTGTTTCTGATGAAAAACTATTCATTGACACAGATGATATGAGGAACCTGTAACCTCAGTAGTTTAAGCAGCATTCGTGAAAAAATTATCTTTTTTTTCAATTTAAACCAGCCCACCAAATAGACTGGTACAAATACATTCCTGAACACAAATATATGGGATTGTGTCTATGAACAAAGTAGTATACAGCTCAGTGTGTATACCTAATTTCACAAAAATAGGTTTACATATGAATAATTTTTAATCCTTAGTATTAATGAGAAAATTAAAAATATTTGTGATGCTTTTTTTAAGATGGGGGGGCTTTAATATTAAAGGTGGTTTTTTGGTAATATTTCTACTAACCTTTACCACTAATATGTTATCCATAGCTTTCCTAATACAAGATATATTTTTTCTAACAGAATGATTATACCACTGCAATGTGCAAACAAATATCACGTAATCAGCTGAGAAGAACAAGTGGGTTTAGATTTCCTGCCAGTAAAACCGTTCGTAGTGTCGGAGGTGCTAATAGAAATCTGCAGCCATGGCCCCTTTTTGCTTTTCTTGGTTCTTGTAAGTTACATTTTTAAAAGTGGTTGTTGAGCCTCTGTACAGTGGATTTGTTTCCTAAGAAAACAAACAAAAAAAAAACCAGAAGAAATGGGAGTTATGCAATGTTTAACTCATCTTGCCATTGCTTCAGCTGCAAGCAGATGTAGCTGCACACCACTGCCTTGAGTGTACCTCTTTAGCTAATGGGATCATTTTGGTCCGTGATTCCTGAGCCAGCGTTATGATGCAGGTCATACACGCACCAGCTAGTACGACTCTTCTTCCCAGTGTGCAGAAGGTGATTTGTGCTCTGTGAGAAACTCGGGCCAGACATCTGCCTGGCCCAGCAATATGTTCCTAACAGCAGGCAATGCAGGCTGCCTGTGGAAAAGCTGACACGTGTTTCACAAACCGCCTGGGTCAGAGGGGATGTCCTCTTTCTATGGACTTGTCTATAGACATTTTGAGTCCATGCAAAATTTACCATCCAGAATATATTTGGAAATTAATCATATGCCCTAAGCAGGTGTTGTATAATGATGTCTTTTGGGCTCTTTGGAGCCTGCTATCTCAGCTTGCTTGTATGGGAGAAGTCGGTGAACAAACGTCCCATCTTCAATTTCTCCAGTCATAATTTCATAAATCAGTAACACACCCTCCTCCCACTGTTTCCTTTCACTAGTGAGGAATTCTGGTCTATTCTTTGTACAGAAGTAATTTTATACCTTTGTTTGTTTTAGAATAGCCTTCAGCAGCTCACTTATATTTGAAGCCACTGAAATTCAGACTGGTCTATATGAGGCAGCACAAACCAGTCTAGGGTCAGGAACATGCTTCCCTTTGCATCTGCCTCCCAGATTAGAGTAATGCACATCATCAAACAATATCAAATATGTCCAATATAATTTGTGTATCAAATGTTGTGGCTGGACCATTCTAAAAGCACAGCTGGTGACTCAGCAGTGAGGTGTGACTTGTCACGGTCCTCTTGCTTGAGCCACACGGACTACCACGTGTTGGGAGAAGGGCAAGTTCCACCTGGGCTTTTAATCCTGGCCTCTCATCATTCACTTCCTACCATTTCCTCTTGCAACAGAAAAGAAAATTAAAATGCTTCTATCAGGTATATCCTTCCCTTCCTTTTTACCACATGTAGTGCTCCCGAAGGATTAAGAAAACATTCTCGAGTGGCCTTGCCTGTAAGTAACAGATTTTTCCCATCTCAAAAGCTGAAAGGCCAGCAGTGCCCATTCTTGCAGAAATGTTGCAGTCACAGGGCTTTATACAAGAATGGAATGGGTGAATGCCAGCGTATCGCCAGTCCTCCTGACACCCCCCAGAAATGCTTACTCAACATGCTTTTTTTCGAAAAGCCTCAGAAGTCTTAAAGCTTTTGCAGAAGAGCAAAAAATCAGGGGCAGAAAGGAAAGAAGAAAAGGGAACATGTGGTATAAGCTTGCATTAGACGTCCTCAAGCTATAGATAGAAGACAAAGCCTTAATTTCTCTGGCCTTTTACCTACATTTGGACACCTTACATTCATTGCGCCTCTGTTTGAGTGGGCTCTCATCATGACAGAGGCCGTCAATAACCTCTGTTTCCTAAAAATAGGCTCTGTTTCTGGGAAGAGGGGTACACCTCTGATAATTACATAGACAGCAAACAACTTCTCTAAGATTAATCAAAGGTGAGGTACTAATTAAAAAACAACTAATAAAAAAATGTTATATACATGCTTTTACATGTGAAAGAAGTTAAACCAGGAGATCAAACTCCAGCTATTTTTCATCCCCCCAAAAAATCATAATTTTATTTTATAGAATACAAAATGTAGTTCAAACCTATCAGTAAAATCTATCAATTTAAAAGAACAAAACCAAGACACAGAGTTTTAAAGGCAGTTGCGCATCATGCAACCAAATTAAAGAACTTCATATAAAATCAATGCATTTAACTTACCGTTTGCCATTTAACTTTAGACTTTTCTGCTTCAAACTTGGCCACCTCTTTTCGGTCTTGAACTGACACCAGTAATTTCCATATACAAAGTAAAACAATGCCAATGAGAAGGATAGCAAGGGTGACACCCACCATTATCATTGGGATATTTGGAAGCTGTGTGCAATCTGTGGGAAAAAAAAAGCAATTATGACTGTGGATGTCCAGTCAATATATTTTAGGCAATTAAAACCAGCCAAGAGGCATGCTGGGCTTCTCATTTGCTGTGAGCTGTTCATGCCTTTTCCTTCAAGTCTGTGTTATCTTCCTCCTGCTAGCTTGCTAAAGGGTTTGTGAAACTGGCTTAAAAATATTGCATTAAAATGTTAAAAAAATTAACTGCTAATTTTTTCCGCTGCTCTTTTACCATGTTGATTAGCAGCTGCTGGATACAGACCCAGATTCTGAAGACAAAAGTTAGAAAATTATTTTCAGTTCTGTGGCAATATAATTCTAAAATGCAGGGCTGAGTTGACAAGATTATGAATTTTACAATGTTATGGCTGAAGCTCTACTTCAATTGACTGATATTCAGTGTGTTGCCCAGGAAAAGATTCTAGCGAGATTTATATCAGGGTGAAGCCACAATGATGTTGAGAAAATAGAGGAAACTGCATTTCACTTATGAAACCAATGAGAGGAAAAATAATTCATCAGACTTGCTGAAAACCTTGGACTGAAGAATTTGAAGGAATTTTGCATTTCAAGTTCTGCAACAAATATTTCAGAGAGTCAGAATTAAAACTGAAGTTTTTACTTCACCAAAACACAAAGACATTTGATTATTTGTATTAAGAAGTATTGCTCATGAAAGGCAGTGAATGCTACTATTTTACAAAATTTTCCATTGAACCGTGGTTTAAGGACATTGAAAAATTAATTTCAGTCTTACTCAGCTTACATGATTGTGTTGCACATTACTTTTTTGCTTGATATCATCATTTAACTGATTCTGAGGGGTCTGGTTTGAGCAGTGGGTTAAGGCTGTGGCTATTGGTGTCGTCTTGACTTTGGTTCCACAAATGAAATCAATTTCTAGAGCATTCCTGGAGGTCTCATCTCAGTTCACATCCGCATGCATCGCAGCCACCACAGCACAATACTTTCAAGGCCATGGAGCAGAACAGCAGATGACAGTGAAGCTGGGTATTGTAACATTGTGGGAGGGCTGCTGCACATGGATGGACTTGTGCCTTCCTTAAGATTCTTCTTTCACTTTTTTTTTCAGATCTACTTAAAATGCACAGTAAATCTATTTAATAAAGAGAAAATCTGACCCTTAAAATCCTGAATCTTAGGCGTGTAGTTTACAAAGGGATGTGCTTCTTTAGTACTAGCTTTGTTACAACCATCTTTGCTGTAACAGTCACCTATAAAAAAATAGGGTACTGTTCTTATGTGCAACGAAATAACTTTTATTCTCCCATGTAGGCTAAGGAAAGGCTACATGAAGGTTAACGAAATTAATGCCATTTGTGTCAACAGAATGAGGTTAAAAATCTGCATGGCTTTCCCTAAGACATGACTAACATTTAGTACACTGTGTGTGTTTAATCAAAAAAAAAAAAAGGTATTTTTATTGCCTGGAAACTAAACTGGCAGCTGAAAAGTGGTGTCTGTGTTCTCTCCTGTCCTACATGATTGGGACATGAAAAATGAAATGAAAATTTTTGAAATGAAAATGAAATTTTTCGCTAATGAAAAATCAGTAGTGAAACAACAGTAAATAAAGAAGTAATGTTAAACGAAAAGATATAATGAGATCTGTTGAATATCTATTAGTTATGCAAAATCACAGAATCACAGGATGTTAGGGGTTGGAAGGGACCTCAAAAGATCATCTAGTCCAACCTCCCTGCCAGAGCAGGACCACCTAGAGCAGGGCACACAGGAATGTGTCCAGGAGGATTTTTCTGCGACATTAAATGTAATTATAAATATATTTTAGAATTTCATCAAGTATTCCCAATCAGATAGTCTTTTGGATATTTGTCCATCTATGAAATATATGTCATTTCAAAGTGAATTATAGTTTTCTTATGTAATGCAAATGACATTTGCTATCATCATCCTAGAATTGCACTTGCTCTTGCAGCCCAGGGATCATTCTGCCCATCTTTCATGAAAGAACAAGTATTTATTGTACTACTGCATCAAATTAAGTACTTGAGGAGGTGCTCTTTTGGCTGGGCAGAGGGGAGCTACAAACAGAAGGAGGTGCAGTGCTGCTTAAAAGAGCTCGGCTTCTAGATAGCTAACCTTACTGCCTGTGTTTTTAAATGAGATTTCACGTGGAAAAAAACAATATTCACTGCTTACCTTTCTGCTCTATACTATGAATGACTGTCCTTCCCTGTTCATCCATAGCCAGTAGAAATGTGGTTATGCATTCATTTTCCCCCTGCAGAGAGCAGGGAATGGATTTATCCTGTGAATAATCTGCAGAGGGGAGGGAAAAAAGTCATCCATCAGATCAAATGAAATTTAACATGTAATAACAAGAGAGACTGCTCGCACCATGTTTGTCACAGCCTTATCTGTGGGTGGTAAAGAGTGAAAGATGAAAGCAGAAATACCCTCAGAATCTCTACCAAATTTAACAACTTTTCTTCCAAGCCAAGCTTTGTTTTGTTTCCGATTTTTCACTTGTATTTCTGAGGAACTGATGCAGGTGTTGTCAGTCTGCACTGACCATTTAGTGCACCTTATTAATCTAGTGTACTATGAATTTCAATTAATTGAAAGTGCTTCCAAGATGCCTAACCACCAGCTGTTTAGGAAATGTAATAATCCCCAATGACAGGACAAAGTAAACAGTATGTTCTCTTTGGTTTACAGCTACTCCTACCGTGTCTAGATTATGTTTCAGAAGTAGATATACATACATCAAACAGCAATGGATACTGTTAAAAGGGCTGCTGTTTATTTCTTCCACAATCGCCCTCTCAAAGATTAGTGTGTCTAGTACTGTCCCCACTGTAAATACAGGTTGATAACAGAAAACGGCATTTCTGGGGTCTTTGTAATACGATTCCAGGGGAAGCAGAGAAAAAGTGACCTGAGACAACAGTCTGTCTACATTTATTTGTCTTTCTGTATAATGTAGATCTGCACAAAAACGTAATCCTTCTTTTTTTTTTTTTCCAGATGATTCCTAACCTGGAAAACTTCTGCTGAGCAAAGTTTGTTTGAAGGGAACAGGGAGACAGGAGGAAGCTGGCTGTGAGGGATGATATAAAACAAACAAGATGATTAAAAATTGAGACTACAGGTCCAGAGCCAGAAATGCCGTAATTTGGAGCATAATCATTATATGGGATTTTACAGAGCAAAAATATCTGACCTTATAACTGTCTGCAATGATACCTCTGGGGCTAAATTCTTGTTATGTTTCCATATAAACCATGATCTGAATAGCATTGGAAATCTAGGTATGCTTTTCAATACATTTTTAGAAAAACTTCTTAGGTTTTATTTTCAGAGGCAAGAAAAATCAGCGAGCTTCTCAAACATGTCTTTAAAAATAATTGTAACTCTCCATTATTACTTACCCATTCGAAAATCTTACTGAAATTTCATAAGCAACTGTGCTAAAAATCTTAAGTCCACAAACTTTAATATGAAGGAAAACGAAATATAAAGTAGGAATCAGACAGGAATATGGATTTTAAAGAAACCTGTGGTACATAAAGAAATAAGTGCTTACCTTTTTTTCTTTTTTTTTTCCCCCTACTGCTTATTATCATAAGATTTGGTCTTACAGAAAACACTATTAAGCACTGTAGAAAATATAAAAGTATAAACAGTTGACAAAACTACAGTCCTTTTCTCTGCTTGTTATAAAAAGAGAATCACCTCTGGATAGATTTTAATGGAAACATGTTCATGATTTGTGATAATCTTGTATTTAACCTGTTGCCTGTCCTTGGTGGCAGAGCAATGTGTTATCTGTCAAGGTGACAGGAAGACAAGATTTGCTGATTCAACAAGATTTGGTTTTGTTAGAAGGGCCACAAACTGCAGACTGAGTGTACTGAATTAATGGCACTCATTGCCAGGTCACAATTCCAGTAACACTGTCCCAAGTTTTGCAATATTTGTCGTTTCCCAACTCTTTTAAGCAAGCAGATCCACAGAATATTAGCTTGCTGCTTTTTTTTTTAAAAAAAAAAAAAAAAAAGGAAAGGGGTAGTTGTTAGCTATCCTGAAGGCAGAGAAAAACTTGCAGACATTTTCCAAATATCATCCAGAAGGCAGTAACTGCAAATACATTAGTTATTTTTAAATTGTAATTTTTAATTTAATGTCATAATTTGAGACCAAGGGGAGCAGAAATCTGATTATGTGCAAGGATGTAGAAATGAAAGCAAAGATGCCAGTTCAAGCTATTTGGAACCCAGCTTACACTTAGTATTTTTATTTCTCTGATGTTATTTTTAGGAGGAGGGATCACTAAGACAGAGTATTGCGTAGATTATTTTCAGTTTATCAGCACAAACATTTGCCTTTGTAGGTAAACTCCTGTAATTTACACCTGTCTAATTTTCTGCATTCTGCAGTGAATCATCATATTTTTCCCACTTCTACTTGCAGCCTAATTCCATTAATTTCAATGGTGTTTGAAATCACTGGAGTCACACTGGAAGAAGAATTGGGTAACAGTGCCAAGCTGGAGCCTCGAAGTGCAAAAGACTGTTTCCTAACAGGTACTTAGATAAAAGATTCAACAACAACAACAAAAAAATGGCTGCAAATGTAAATGTCATTATGCCCTTTCTTGCTTATGTTATGCTCAACAAACTGCTTTTTTTGAACAGTTTCATCTCACTTTGAGTCAGAACAACAGAGCAGCACTGATATAGAGGTTTATTCAGGCTCCAGCATCCACTTTGTTGCTGCACCGGGAATTTGTGCGATGTGAGCATGATGGGGCAGGAAAAAAAAAAAAGTTTCTCCAAGGAAAGTGTAACTGTCCTTGTTGGCCTTGTGGCAGGAGCAGCCTGGTGCCCTGTGGCCGGGGTGGGGGCAGGAGCCGCTTTTTTAGGAATTGCAGTTCCTCCTGGGTATCCAGTAGAGCATCAAGGGCTCCTCTTACACCCAGCTGGCAAAGGGGGGAATTGGCCCGATTTAACATTCAAATGTTAAAAATGGATGAAAATAGACATTCAAAAGGGATGCCTGCCATGGAGATAAGCCCGGTGACTGTGAAGCCATCAGCACCTCCAGAGCTGCTGTGCCATCCCCTGCCCTGCTGCATCGCCAGGCAGAGAGGCTGCCTGTTCCCGGCCGCCCCGCTGACCCTGCTGCGGGGGCGCGGGAAGAGGAACCCCCGGCACCCACAGAACCGAAGCTGAGGAGGCGAAAGGCACGGCTCAGAGGCTAAAACAGGGATTCCCAAGAAACACAAAATGTAAAGCCGACACTTCTTTCCACAGCTCCAGTCATTGTGTTGCAACATACACATGCAAAAGAGAAAGTAAATCTTTAAAGTGCTAGCATTTTATTTAACTAGAGCTATCTCTAGTTTTCAAAAAGCCTCAATAATCTGTCTTAAATATTATGTGGTGGTCTAGCTATACCACTTTCTTTTTGGTTGTTTGGTTGGTTATGGGGTTTTGTGGTTTTTGTTTGTTTGTTTAGGTAATACACTTTTGATTTTAGGATTATTATTTTCATTATTATTTTGAAGATTTTTTTTTTCCTCTCAGGACTTCATGTGGCTACCTCCACGCCAAAACAAATCCGTTGAGCTGTTGCACAAGCATTTAAGATGCACAGATTGCAACAGCTTCTTTTTATTACTTTTTTTGAGGGGTTAGGATTAGAACAGTGATCCAGCCTTCACTACTGCAGTTGCTGTAACTGCTGCGAATAAATTTTGAATCTAAAGGAGTAGCTGACAGTTCCAATCAGGGAAGCACAGGAAAAAAAAAAAAAAGGAAATGAGCAAGAACAGGAGATGGTGTTGTCATGCTCATTTTCCTGTGACCTCTGCGTATATGAACAGAGCCATATGAGTGACTGTTTCTGCTCTTGATCATTACTTGTTGTATTTGAAAGTAGGATGTCTTACATATTCCTAGCTACAAATATCTGCCATCTGGCAATAGCAACCTGAAAGCTTTACTAATTGCAGAGATACAATGAAAGTGCTTATATGTTTTTGAAACTTGTAAAGACATTTTTGTAATTATAAACAAATACTGATGCCTAGAAAAGCAAAGCATGATAATTTTAATAAAAATACAAAATTAGAATTACTTTTCCTTAAAAGGGCAGCATTTGCAACTTTTGAGCTCTGTATTATGGAGTAAAGTCATAAAAAACAAAAGGTGTAGCTTTGTTGGAAAGATGTACATCAGTGAAATTTCTGCACGCATGCGGCTCTGGGTGGGCTTCCAGCATTTTGCAGACACAAACCTCAGATGTGCATGCAGCATTCTGCATTGTCATCCTAATTTGCCTTATTTGCCTTTGATGTACCATAAGCATTTGCCTTATTTAATGCTTATGGTACATCTGTGATGTGGGTATAACGTACCTATGTCCTGCCTCATCTAACTACTGCGTTTTGCCATAGGATTGGAACTAGAATTGCCATGAGAATAAATAGACTGCCCACTGAACAGGCAAGCACCTTCCTCTATAGGAAAGAAAAAGATGCACTATTTCATTTAAAGTTATATTTTTGTCTGAGAGCAGTATTTTACTCAAGGTTAATTCGTATTCCAGAAATTCCCATTGATTTGGGTCAGTTTTGAATTAAAGTGAGCAACTGAAAGATGTGCTTAGCCTTTAGAATACTAGAAACGTCTTTGCCACAGGTTAAAGGACTGTCTGCTGTGTCTAGTCACCAACTGTAATCGAGAGTCTGCATAAGGACTGGAATCAGGTTTTGCATTTGTATGGTGAAAGAAGCCACTCTGGAACTCATGGTACAGCCGAGACAAACTCAGGGGCTTTCATCAGCCACTGATTTGCAGGGACTGGTATTTATTAAATTCTATACTTTCTTACATAAACTGCTTAGAAATAGGCATGATCCAGTGAGTTAATTAACCTGGGAGGGTAATACCAGCCCCGGTCTGCGTTTACTACTTAGCACAGAAGAACCATAGACAGACAGCGATTGCATTATGAGCCTTAATATAATTCCACAGCAGAAAAACAAGGCTACTTTCAAATATAAAACCACTTGAAAGTGGAAGCTCACTAATCACGCACACACAGAAAAGGAAAACTAAGTATACAAACCCTTTGCAGTGCTGACAGTTGCATCAACCAATTTGCATTTTTCACTGCATTCTCCTGGTGACTTGTCATCAGAAGCCAAGTGACATTCCACACAGCTCCTGTGGAAAATAATTCAGCAGCTCATCAATCTCTGCCTGTCACAAGGCAACGATATAAAAGCCCGTGTGTATGCATCTGCATTTTAAAAAGAAGCTAAACAAAAGGTCTAGTGCTACGGATACAGTAGTTCCCAGAAATATGATAGGTATTGCCACAAAAAAAACCCAAAACAAACCAAAAAACCAACCAAAACCAAAAACCACCCCACATGAATAAAGATATTGTGGATAAGCTCTCTCTTGTCCCCTTTTCTCTCCCAGCTTATTAGCTACCAGACAGAACCCCAGGCAACATTATTCATGTAGGTCGATCAAAGACATGGGGTTACTCACACATAAAGTTCATTTTCAAAAATAAATACTCTGAACTAAGTGTGACACTAAATACCAGCTGAAGGAATGCCTATCAGATGAACAATATCTGAAATCAACTTCAGACAGATCAAGCTGGGGCACTTACTGTAAGTCTTCCTTTGTTGAAAGTCTATTGAATAATGTATTAAAACACTACTCAGGTGTCTCAACAGATCTCTTGAATGTGATTACTTGTCTCAGGAATTACTTACGTAGATTCTAATTATACTAATGCAATTTACTGGGAAATTATTTACTTTATTTAGTAGTGGAATGACTGAAATATTATTTAAAAACACAGAGCCTAAACCAATTCCTTTAGAAGTCTGAAAATCTTACAAGAAATTTAATGAAGATTTTAATAAATCCAGAGTTTATTCATGGAAAAATGAAACAAACAGAATTCATATATGAAAATTTTTGGTGCGAAATGTATCTTGCTGATTCTTCTCAAATAGCTTCAGCCAGAGTGAGGGGCTGAGATTGAGAAGCAGCCTGAACGGCGGACTGCTTAAAGAAAAGAAAAGAGAAGAACTGCAACAAAACATCCCCAAAAAACCTGGCCGTCTCCTATTGCATTGAGTTATACATATCCCTGGGAATATGCTGAGGCTGCTGAGGTTATCTTCACGGGGTGGAGATGACCTTATCACTCACTCTGGAGATGGCAAATGGTAAAAGCAAGCGGGTAATGGGATAGCCTCTATCTCATGGAGACAAATTCAGTGTTGGTGGTGGTTTTGTCATATTTGCCACGTTTCTTGTGCTACCACTCTTTGTCTCAGCTGCCTAGCCGTTGATCTCCATCCCCTCTGACCCGGTCTTTCAGCTCTCTCTGTTACCCTACCCAGGTATTCCCAATCTCTCTCTTCTGGCTTTCCTTGCCCTGCATTTCAGCAAGGGAAGACATTGAAGAAGAGAGAAAAGATCTAACACTGCATACAATATACATGTTTAACTAGGCTAATGTAATGCCCATTGTGTAACTTTATATTTCTTACTCTCTGCCAAATTGTGCAGGGCAGAGCAAAGCAGCAGTATTTCCTTCGTGTTTTGAGCAGTTGCATGCAGATGTTCTCTTTACTTAAAGTTTGAACAAACCGATTGGCTCACTTTTGTAGGTCGAATTTAGCACTAACATAAATGACAATTTAATCACATGCCGTCGAATAGTTTCTAATCTCAGATATAGTGTAGACTGCAACTGCAGGCATGAAAATACAGTGGTGGAAAGCTGGTATGGAAGAGAAATGGGCCTCAGCTCTAAGTAGATATGACATCTTCATGAAATATTAATGCAACTTACACTGGCTCTGTGCTCAGCAAGCAAAACCGGGTCATTAACAACATGTATTCTGTGAAGCCTAATTCAACTTCTATCTTAAATTTCTACTGAAGACTGCTCATTTTTAACTGACTTTAGGTTTGCAAGAGCTCAAATATTACAAGCATAAGCATGGGTGTACTTAGAGCGGTCAGCTTTATGTCACATACATTTTTGGTTGCTTTTCCTGTCCTGCACTGTGGCGTACACCATGCATCACAGCAGGAAAGCTACCTAAATTTTGTATGCTCAGTGAACAGAAGACCCTTCATCATTTACAATCAATTTATCATCAATTTATACATGACATACACCTACCCACTGATTTCATCCCCAGACTATGACATAGTTTATCATAGCTGGGCCTTTCTAATTCAGCCAAGCTTAACCGAATTTGGGTTATGAATTTGCATGTGTGTAAAGCTTGAGCAGACAGTGTGACCCTATGAATTCATGTACATGAGAATGGTAACACAAATGCCATTTTATTCTTTGAGTCCTCATTTTTGCAGTAGCAGCTATGCTGATATGTTTTCATTCTGTACTGTGGACTGGAAAGAGGTTCATCTGGTTTTGTCCGATGTCATCATATAAGGCCACCATTCTGACTAGTTGTACAGCCAGGGCCAGCAGTGGAAATGTGGTGTTTCATTTGAGCTGCCTGAAGGTGATTAAATTGTTTTCCAAAAAGCTCTTTTGTACAAGAGTGAAGTGGCTAAATGGTTGATGTACAAGTTATGACTACCCGTCTTAAGGGCAAGGAAGGTCTTGAGTTCTGGTCTGTAAATCCAGTTTAAAGTAGTGGCAGTAAACACTCTGCTGAGGCAGCACAGGAAATAGATACCTGAATGCTACAAACATCAGAGACGTAAAACCGGCACATTACCGCCTGGAACTGCAAGGGTCGCTGCAGAGAGGGCATTTTTCACATGTTTGGCCTGAAGCCCCTGGATAGGTGCAAGCACATGTCCCACAGATGCATTCGCCTCTCCCACTGCACAGTGTCCCATCCTCAGCAATGCAGGTGCTGGTGTCGGTTGTGCAATTACAGTATTCACCAGTCCATCCACTGTGGCACATGCATTCTCCACAGTCACAGTCACCGTTGCCTGGAAAAACATTTATTATGCTTCAAATAAGTCTCTTAATAAGAATGTCAATGATGGCCTTTAAAATCATTCTCCTTAAGAGCAGATATTTTCCCCTCTCCAACTCTTCTCACTCTTAAACATCTTCCTTCACCAGCATTTTCAGTTTTAAGCCAGAGGATCAAATTTTTGCTTAGACAGACTGTAAGCCAGTGCAACTCCATTCTTTTCACTGGAGTCCTCCACACAGATCTTCTCTCCTGACAGTGCACAACCTAATGGGTAAATCCTCTTTCATTTATAGCAACATAATTTCAGCCTATCTATTCAGCACAATCTCATTGCTGCTCCCTGACAGTTTAATGATATTCCCATCATTTCAATAGAATCACTTTTGATTGATAATGGTATAGTCCAGGAAAAAAAATATAAATACAAGTTCTGAAATTCTGATTGTACCTTACTAAGATAAACCAAGAATCATTGAGGTTACTGGGTTAAAACTATAAAAATATCAGTATTATCCTGAAAGTGGTTAGTTAAGATTAATTTATTAAGATTGCTATGCTTTGATAATCATGTCCAAGTGAAGTTGTACACTGGCTAACACCGATGTGTGTCAATACTCTTACCTAAACTTCCTTGGAGCTAAAATCATCTACAGCCATTAAAAGTCTGACCCTGTGTGATGGTAACTGATACGGTCCAATAAAGCCATGCACGCTTAGACTAGCTATGGAGTTACTAAAGGTGTCTCATTTCTGAATTTGAAAACAAGGTTAAAGAGCATATCTTGTTTTGAGTTTAAAGACCATTCAGAAATAGCAAATTTCATACAGAATTGATTGCAACTGAATATATGATGAAAATACAGATTCACAAGCTCCTAGCTAAGAGTGAGGCAATAAAGCTCTAAAATGTGGACACTGAAAATAGCGTCAAGGGACCATACCTCCACACTGGAGCCCTCTGTGTCTCACACAAGAGAAGTCGTCACATTCACAGCGTGGCCCGTACACCTTCCCATAGAGGGATGGGTGGCACACGCACTGCCCGCAGTAGCAGTCACCTCTCCCGCTGCAGGAGCTCTGCTCTGCCGAGCCCTTGCAGGAGCTGGTGCCGAGGGAGCTCTCGTCGCATTCGCAGTGTGGCCCCACATACCCCGGGCTGCAGACGCACACCCCGCACTGGAAAGATCCTTTCCCTTTGTTGCATTTTGGGCTGTTAATCTCAGCCTTTGTCTGACAGTTACAGCTGCATTGGGGTTGAATTTCCATTTCCAGCGTGTCACTGAGCCCTACTGGTTTTATCACAATATGCCTTCTGTTTTTTTCACAAGAGGAGAGACTTACAGTCACATTGAAGGAGACCTGGAAGAGAAAATGGTGGTTGTTCAGAGCTGCAGCACATGCAGCTCTGCAGGGTGCGCTGGCAGCACATGCAGAGGACAGAACAAGAGGGTAGTAGATAGTGCCTGCTTTTCTGTAACTTGTTTCGAGGAAGATTTTTTAATAAAGAGCAAACTCCCCACTTTGGTGTCCTAAATTCTCTTTTGAGAGATTCTTTTGAAAATTTGTTCTTTACTTACTGTGTCTCCCACTTTCACATGAGAGCATTTCCTCTGATGTGGAAAAAAGGTCCCATTGTTGCAGATGGCCGTGAAAGAGAGACTGAGCCCTTCTGTCTCTCCCAAGATCTCCAGCTCCACCTCAGACCTCAGCTCCTTAAAGAAAAAAGACGTGAGATGAATGGAGTGATAACACTGCCAAGCGCTGCTAATGCTCCGTGTCTGTGTAACATGGATTGTAACTTATCCTGAACCACATAGGAGTAAATTCATGGGTTTGGCATTTTATTTACAGATTTCTCTATTGCAAGAAAAATGGGGAATGAGCAAAGCAAAACAAGTGCTGACAGAACTGGCTTTCAGTGAAAAGCCATGGTAGTATCAGTTTAATATCTGCTATCACAGGGCTTATTTCCTGCCCTTGCAGAAGAATAAATTAAATGTTTTATTAAATCAGCTTTCGTTACTGAATGCTCTGCTGACGGATACAGGTTTTCTTTTAGCTCTGGTCTTACTGAGGAACAGATTTGTGTCCCTGATTGCGTTGCTAGCACTGGGCTTTTCCAGATTAACTAGCCTATGTCAATACTGCTCCCTCTTTATCTCGCCTGGTAGAAGCAAACCTCACAATCTCTCTCACGCAGGGCAGGCTCCAAGCTCAGTTTTGCCTCAGCGTGGGCTCTCCGTGAGTTAGCCTGATGTTTCCAGGGCCAGAGCTGGAGTCAAGCCCCATGGTGAGGTCCCACAGCTGGGGATCTCGCTTCCTGCCTGTCTTCTGCCAATGGAAATTCCTGCTTCATGAGCTGTTGGAGCTATTTCAAATCTTATTCAACTTCTCATTTCTTAAATCAATTTGTTCAATCAAACTTCCATTTCTTAAGTGAAAAACTTAATTCCTGAACCCTCTCATACCAAGTTTTTATATTTCACTCTTTGAAATATTTTGTAGCGACTTTGCTTACACAGTTTAACCTTAATCCAAAGCCTATAGCAGACCATGGGGAAATTCCCTATGACTTCATTGAACTGTGAATCCAGTAAATGGAATTTTTTCAAAAGTACCTTAACAATTGCTGAGCAAAACTGTCACTGACTTGGCTTTGTGCTCTTGCAAGCTTAATTGCTTTACAAAATACTCTTCAATCAGAGCACTTCAATCAGAGCATGAGGAGCTCACTGACCTTACTTCAGTGAGTCATTCTAGTAAAGGCATCAGGATGACTCACTAGAGTAAAGGTCTGGTGGGGTACAACAAACTAAAAGTAGAATAGGTATAAACCTGCACAGATGACAACTCACTGTGCTTTGTATATGTCCTGGATTTCCTGGAAATTTGTCTTCGGGTTGTGTTTGGTGGGGTTTTTTTAATGTCTTTTCATCTGTAAAACCTTGTCAGTAAACCAAAGCAACACACGTCGTGCAAGACATTCACCCAGAGCTCTTTCCAGCACACAGCCAGTCAGTAAAACTGTGCCCTGAGCATCAGGTTGGTAACGTTGGCAGCTCTGAGTATGTCCAGTTTTCCCTTCGCATTCATTTTAGAGTTAGGTGCTTATGTTGCTATTGAAACAATGCAGAGATAACAAATTTTTGGGGATAGCTGTCCTTTCACAAAAAGACAAAATATAGCAAACCTCTAGGTAAAACTGTGAATGTTGGTATGTGCTGATGTTACAGGAAATATCACCAAATAGTCCCTCTTCCACCAGCTGCAAAACTACAAGGCTCAAATAGAGTGCAACTGTGAGAAAATTAAATGCTGCTGAACACGAAGTCATAATACTTTGAACCCTGGTGTCTGTACTGGGTCATTTGAACTTGCCTTGCTGTTGTGTGAGGTCAAAATATGCACCTTATGTCTGAAAATCAACGCATAAACTGTGACAAACTCCAGCTTCTTAGATCTTATTATCTGTGAGGACTTCTAATGGTGTTTTAAATCTACTAAGCTGTCTGGCCATAGTTTGGGGACAAATAGTGGACAGTTTAGTGAACTTTAAGCCATTCACAAAGAAACATTTGTGGTTCAAAAAATCTTCTGAATGAAACAACAGACAAAGCAGTGTTACAAACTTGTCCCCTTGTGTTACCTGTCCTTTTAAAATATATTATTTCTTTGGTCTTATTTTCCTGTAAGTGAAAGGACCAAGCACTGGGAAAAAAAAAAAAAAAAAAAAAAGTGGAATTTTTCTGAAGTTTTAAAATCCTGGAATGACTTTAATCAAACAGCCTGATATCTGTCACAATGCATTTCAGCCTACAGCTCTGCAATACAAAGTTATGCAGAATTCAACGTTAAACAAAGCAGGCAGAAATATGCTTACAGAAGAAAATGAATCATACTTGGAAAGAACACGAGAACTCCTTGTAACAAATATTTTGACAGCTCAGACTTTCTTAACTTGCTTACTTCCTCTCTGAAGCTTTTAGATAGCAACACATGGTGAATGGTATTAGCAAATCTTGTGTGTTTGTACAGCAAGCAAAGACTTGAAAGCACTTTAAAAGTGTTAGAAGATTTAGCCTAAGTCTACTCTTGGGGGGCAAATAGTTATATATTCCTCTTTTGTGGGTAAAGAAACAGAGACACCAGGCATTGAACTACACTGCTGAGAGTATAACGAAAAGTCTGTGACAAAAATGGAATCAGATCTTCTGTTTTGCATGTGATTTTTAACCGTAGTTCTACCCTCATTTCCCCCTTCCCAGTCCAACAAAAATTCAGATGTCTTCACTTATGTCAAATAAGGTGGTTTTCAGTGTTTCCTGCTTGGAAGATTTTCAATCATGAAGCAATGAGATTGTTAACCTTTACGGTTAAGTGTACTAAAATGGGCTCTGGGAAACTTTGAGCGTGACATGTTGCTGCTTGTACACTTTGTACATCTGGAAATGTATGTGCATTAAGAATCTATGAGCAACTCTGGCACATGGTCCAGACATGCTGTACCTACAAGCCTGAAGGCAGGAGCACTGTTCCTGCAGCCCCCGCCTCCTTGCCACTATGGGAGGGGAGCGAGCTCTGAGCTCTGAGCCCCCTCCAAACTCTGCCTACAGAACAGCTGAAACCAGGACCATCTGAAACTACTCAGGAGCTGGACCAAGGTCACCACTGACAGCTCTGGCAGATGATCTACTCAAAGCATGCATCAGCTGAAAAGCCAACAATGTCCTGGGCGTCACAAGCAAGGATGCTGAGAACAAGACAGAGGGCATCATTTTGCCTCAGTATAAACCTTAGTGTGCCCTGTCTTGCACACTGCAAGCTCTTCTGGTTTCCACATCTCAGGACAGAGTCAGAGAGGGTAAGAAGAAGGTCAGCTGAAGTCGCCAAGGGGATGGAACAGCCAAGGAGAGACTTCAAAGGCTGGGATTATCCAATTTGGAGCAAAGATTGGGGTTGGGGGGGTGGAAGGTGTCTCAGTGGTAAAATATTACAAAATCATGAAGACGTGAAGATGAAGTGAATGCAGAGCTGTTATCACCAAACCCTGCAACACCAGAACTGAGGTGCACTCAGTGAAATTTAAAGTGTAGGGAGTGGTTTAAAACAGGGAAAAGAAAAATATATCTTGACACAGTGTAAGTGAACTCCTTTTTTTGCCACAGAATGCAATGGAGACCAAAAATATCAGCAGGTTCAAGAAGGAGAGTAAAAAAAAAAATAAATTGTGGACAATAGATACATGAGCAGACACTAAGGGGAAGAGGCAAGGATGCACTCCAACTTTCCAATATTCCAGCAAGGCAGAAAGTGCCATGACACTGCAAATAGAGGAACCAGCGTTCTGCACTTAACACAGTATTACAGTAAAGGCAACAGGACACAGGACTGGGACAATTATTTTGTGTTTTTACTTTACTTACTGGACAACAAAATGGTGTTTCTGCTGTTAAATGCTGTCTATATGTTAGAGTGCCAGCCTCAAGAAATCCTTGTAGGAACCAGATGTGACTAACAACAGGTTGGACTACAGAAGTGAACTCCTGGTGCCACTGGATGTTTAGTAATAGCTTTGCTCATGTAAATATTTCCCCCCATATTTATTACAATTTGTAGACTCCCAAGATTAACCTTAAAGTTCTTTGCTTATTTAATTTTCCGTAGGACAGAGAATCTTCTGGTATTCTGTATTTCATTTAAAAAATCACAACTGACCTATTGTATTGCTTTTAGAAGAGTTGGAAGAATTTGGTTTGCCTTCCTATCATCAAGACCAAAATAACTTTCAGGATAATGATGATCATCTCATTCAGGTGATAGGATGAGGAGCAGAAAAAACAAAATATGGAAAGAAACAGAAGCTACTTGCAAAGAGTTATTTGGCATTCTAGCCAACTGGTAGAGCAAGTTTTTAATAAAAAGGGGCTGACATGGAAGAGAGAAATCTGTGGTATATCAGCGTATATGTAAATTAATATATCTGTGTAAAGCCATGTAAAACTGTCTAAAAACATTCCCCTGACAGAAGAGAACCAGGCAGCCAGGATACATTTCACAAACAAAGCTCTGAAGAGCAGTGCTGTGTTATGTTCCTGTCATCTTTACAGTACTTCTTGGTATTGAACAAAGCCATTCAAGTCTTGGTGTTATCTAAACAAATCCCTTTCAGCTGATGCGTTCTTCTTTTTAAAAACCTCTTCAGAATAGCCTCACAGGGGCAGCATCAAATTGCTAAAGCAGAGAAGAGCACTGAGCACAGGATAGTGCTTTTTTCCCCAGATATTCCTGCAGAGCAATTGTACATCTGCTCTGGTGACAGCTACCAATGGGAAGAGAGTTGAGTCCCTGTCAAGTTGTTGAACTGGGAGACCTGAATACCTGTATTAAAGAAGGCTTAAGAGTAGATGTGAAATACAGAACTATGAAGAAGGCAAGACAGACGAGACACTGATGTGAATTTAGCATTCCAGCAGAACTAAGAAATGACAGAAGGTTATAGGAATTTTCTTTCTGTGCTCACTTAATCCTCAGAGAGAGCAGAACTTTTCTGTTAAGGTCAGCATCTAAGCATAAAAAATTATGTTCTTGTAATCAGTGCATAAAAAGAATCGAAGATGCTTGTTTTTACCAAATTGCAATCCAATTTTGAAAATACAGGCATGCGGCAAGAAAACACACTATAACCATCTTACCTGATATGCAGCAATGATCAACTGGAGAATATTTCCAGAATCCTTCTGTAGTCGTCCAACAGTAGCTCCAGGAATAAGCTTTGCATAGTTCTGAAAGTATAAAAACAAATTTAAAGCACAAAAAAATCCTAGGTGACAAGGAGCTACCATTTGGGAAAAACCCAAAACACGTTGAAGCCAACTGAACTAAATAGTAGTGGCATTTTCAAGGACCCTTGCAGACTCAGTAACACACATTGCATTGAAAAAGTCCTATGGAGGAGTGCTAATTTCACTGGTAATTAATGGGACATGTATTGCTAAATCACCTCTGTAGGCTTGGAAGTTTGATACTATGGTATTTTTCAGCTTTAATTTTTAAATTTGGAAGGAAGGTATATTTTATCAACAGTTGTGCTTGTCTCTAATAAAAATAACCAAAACCAGATTCAGCTGCTCTACTGTTGCTGTACTATTCAAGAGTCTTGGACCCTCCATTCAGCAACAGCAGTCACTTTTTGATCTTTGTAACTGAGCATTTTGAATTCTGATTAGTGAGGGTACAGAAGTTAAGAAGTTTAAACTAAGGGCTACAAGAACTTTGAACAAAGGCCCTTAAAAACCCGCTGCTGGTTTATGCTTGATGTAATACCCCACATGTATCCCAGTGGTCTGTGGCTATGACTGATCATATGTTGACTTTACGTAATAATATAGTACCAATTTAACAATTTATTTCTGTGATAAATTTTCTTTTCTTTTTGCATTAAATTGCATTGTGACACTAACATGACAGCTAGCAGCTACTTTTTAAATACATTCAATTAAAATTTATCTTGCCTGATTGTTAATTATATGAACTTCTCTTGCTTGAATCCATGCCTATGGAAAATAATAACTGCTCATCATTAAAAAAACATGTTGTAGCATTCATTTTCTTTTTCAATTTATCGTATCAATGCTGTTATTTTAATAAAAAATAAGCCACAGAGCTATTGATAAACACAAATCGTTTGATACCCTTATATCCCTCTTACACTTTACATCTCCAAAAGCCCTGTGATTACTTTATATATTATGTATGGAATACTTATCATTCATCAGATTTCTAAAGTGCTATTGTAAATCAGTGGGATTAACTGCATTTTGTGCTACAGCTGGTGACTTTGCATTCCTGACTCCTCCCGCGATTAGTGCTCTCTCAAGGGTTCTTAGAATATCGAAACTCTGCATTTTGTACACGTGGCCCCTTTGTGAGATAATTATAAGAAAAGATGATAAACTTGGAATTTAAAAGTATAGCACCTTTTAATCTGTGGCATTCAAAACAAACAGCGGGGATATACTGTTCTGAAGACTTTGTTTTATCTTTCCTCTTTGAAGAAAGATTTTCTGCATGGTGATACAAGGATGACGCTGTAAGTCCAGTCTAAGCGTCTATCTCCAGTCCGTTGGTTAAACCCTACCTTTTAGCAAATATTTCTGTTTAACCATTAACAAGGTGAAGCAGACTGATGCTTTGGAGTGCTAGTATTGTAAAACATCCAAAGGATGTAATGGAATGTACTCTTTTTGCAAATACTCATTAAAAGGCGAACTGTTATTTTATAGAGATACTCTGATTCATGTTAGTGAAATTTGACAATTATATATTTACATTCAGTGGGGTGATGTCTAACTTTTGGCACTGTAAATAATAGAAGAATTTTCATCATAAATAAAGTGTCATGCCAAATTTATAAAAATCATTTGAAATTCTGTACAAGTGTGGAGACTGGAGTAATTTTAGTTCAATTTTCAGCAGTGAAATGCAGTCCGAAAACCCCAATTTTCAAGCTGTATTCTCCTGTGATATTAAAATAATTAATTTGTGCAGAAAAGAGCAATTTCTGTTTCAAGTCAAGTGCTGCTTAGTCAGGATTAAAGAGGGAATCTTTTCCCTTATCTAAGTTTGAATAAATTTTTAAAGAATTCTGCTTGAAAACAAATAATATCAGCAATAATAATAACTACTTCATGAAATCTTAAAGACTGGTGGTTTCTTCTATACCAAAACAGGATTTACACAGTTTGTCAAAATATCATTCTTATTGCAATATTCACAGATGCTTTTTGAGTGAATAGCTTTTATGGAATAAAAACATTCCCTGCTGCTTTGACAAGACTCAGCTGAGACTAATGATGTGAAAAGTTAGACATATATGAATACATTTTAAAATACTTTTTTTGTGAAAAAGAAAATCCTCTTTATAAATAACCTTAAACTATCAGGGCTCGGTGTAAGGGACTTCCTCCACTCTCTTGCATTTAATTTTGACTGGCTTTATAAATGTTTCCACGTGACTGCTTTTAAAGTTCTTGTGGTCAGGGAGAGCAGCAGACCTAAGCGTCCCCCCTCTTTTATACTGCTGTGGTGTAGCTGTTTGGTTGCATGGAAGGATCAAAACTAACACCAGCTATGCTACAAGCATACATATTCCATAATACTTGTGTGTTAGATAAAAATACACATACATGTAAGTGGACAAACTGAAAATTCAGTTGAAGAGGATCAAGAATATTAAATGACTGAATCATTTTGGGCTAAATTGTTGGGGATTATATGGGGCTAGAAATACAAAAGATATATTTGACAGTCTGAGCACTGCACTTAAGACTGATGGAATCCATCAAGTCTATTTAAAGAGGTGCTTTATAAGTCTTCACAGTCATTTTAATGTACGTTTGTCCCTAAGAACTGAATTATAAATAGCAATGGCCAATTTTGGGGCCTGATATAATTAGATGCTGCGTTCAAGTAGATGTGAGATGAGATATTTGGGGAGAGGCTTTCCACCTCAAAGGATAATTAAGTATGGAAGGGTTTTCCGAGGTACATTGCAGAGCCTCCATCACCAAGGCTTTTAAAAAGAAGTAAAATACCAAGACGAGAGTGGTGTAATGGTGGTGCCCAAGTCCCACTTCAGGGCCCTCTCCCAGCTCTTCCATGCTGCCCAAGCAGTGGCCTTAACACAAAAACTCTCATTGTCTTGCTTTGTTCTTTTTACATTCTTAAGCATGGATACCTGGCTATTTACATCGATACTACAAATTTGAATCACGAAGGTGAAAACGTGACACTGTTGTCCTGTTTGCACATCCTACATACACCTTTGAAAGTATAGCGTAGTGTGGAAAAACTGCACTGTGAGACTTATATGTGATTTTTGTGCTTTGACTGTTTTTTCCACATCACCTACAGGACAGAAAGCAGATGGTAACAACTAGAGTCATCCAAATAAGTGACAGAAATCAGTATTAAAGATGAAAGCAGTAGAGCGAATGTATTGAATGGGATTACTATATACCCTACAAGACAGAAGATAGTTGCACTTTTTTTTCCTGTCAAAGAAAGTAACTAGAACAAGCCATTCCCCAGTCAGGTAAACAATGGCTCGCATTTTTTTGTTAGCTATAAATCTTCATTTAGTGTTCCCAGTGAACAAAGGGTGCCACTTGATAACTTTGATAGTGGTATAACACTGACACAGGGATACTGAAATAGAAACCCCCTGATAAGAACACTGTTGGTCAACTCTGAGGGAGACCACCAGCAATTTCCATGGGAAAATATAATGCCATCAGCAAGAGAAAAGTTTCTTTGGACAAAATAAGGCTCTGTACACCACAGAGATAGTTCAAACTACCTCCTAGAACAGCCCTTATTCATGCAGTTCCTATTAAAAATGGGGAAAAGTTTTCACCTGTCATTAATTGGGCCCCTATTAAGAAATTTTTGAGCAAATGAGATTTAGTTAAAGTTTTTTAATGTACAAATTTTAACTAATCTATGCTATGACTATAGAATCCCACTGCAGTTGTAAGTGATTGACTTCTACTATTGGTGATCTAAATTTTCACGCTTCAGCTCAATATTCAATACTGTCTTTAAAAAAGGCAGCCAGGCAGTGCTCCAAGAGTGTATTTCTCTTGGAGAGTGTTTCCTTCCTTGTCAAGACTGTAATCTGAGAATCACTTTATGAAAGATGTGACTCTTGTAACTTCTGTCAAACACCTGGCGTATTTGTGTTACTCAAGACCACTCTACAACTGGAACCAGTTGCAGAAGCACTGGGGGGGTCTTCCCTGGGTTATGCAGAAGCCAGAAACAGAAAACCATCATACCAGTGAGGACCTCAAGACTCATCTGCTCTCTCTGCTGTAACATAGGACCTTTTCCCCTACCCTTTCTTTCCTATTTTCCCTATGGTTATCACACCAGATATCACACCTTGCTTTTCATTCCTTGACTTTTGGCTTTCAATGAGGATTGTTGTGCGAAGACATTTCCTTTGGAAAGCCAAGCTTATTGTATCAGCAGGATCAGCCTTATTGACTCCCTCTCAACCAACTTGAATAAATTTGGAGGCACAGTTTTTCTCCCCTTGTCCCACTTCATGCAGCAGTATGTAGCCAGGCAGCCAAGCTTAGGCTGCAAACCCCCTTTTTATTCTCATTGAATTCTTTTTTGCATGTGAAGATTTCTTCCCAGCAGCAGGACTGGACAGAAAAAGAAATAAGAATCGCCAATGATTACACTGAATAGATTAGCAATGCTTAGTTTGACAATCCTTGACTTAAAATATTAGTGTGATTCAACTTGAAATCCAATTTAAGAGTTACATGAGAACATCAAAATCAGTATGTGAAGAAGCACTTCCAAAGTAAAAGAGAATTCCTCTGATAGATAATATCCTAGCTATTTTCATTACATAAGTATCTTGCAGAATTCAGTCCTTAGTACTAGAATTACTGTAGTAGCTGTGAAAAAGGGTGAACTTTAAAACAAATACTGACGAGCTAAATGTTTTAGTTTGCTCACCTCATATATGTGAACTTGTTCATTCGTTACAGCAAAAATTAATAGAACATTGTTTTGCACAAGTTTGTCAATTAATTGTCCAATTGTGGGATACTCCTGCAAACAAACAGAAGAGAGCCACATCAATCCATTTTTCATGTGCATTCAGTTGCTAATTATCTCCCATGAAATATGCATTCAAATGGTTGTAATTAACACTGTATTCTCTGTATAAAAGAAACTATAATTAGGCACTACATGTATATTTTTTCGGAGTTATAAACTATTCTAACTCCACAGAAACACGCTGTTTTCTTTTTATGGAAATGTGCAATTACAAATAAAATAGATTACATGAAGTATCTATCTGGATTCCCCAACTTTTACATAGTTCAGTGATAAAGGTATACTTTCATTAATTTTCTAAGTTGCTCATGTCAGTCTTAAAATTTTCAGAATGCAAGAGTTGTACAAAATTCATAGTAAATTACCAGAACAGTTGACATGGAATATTCGTTATTGTGGTCCAAATGACAGTTCCCATCATTAGGAATAACAATCCCTGCCAGTTTACTGTCCATCCCAAAATGGGAATCAGCATCACTCACAAACACCAGCAAATGTAGAGAATCATTCCTCCATCCAATTTTTTCCTGTCATTTAAAATACATTAGTTTAGCAGGCTGTATTGCACTCACAATATAGAGAAGCAGCAAAAGATTTGGAGAACGGCACCTCGATATAAATGAAGGGAATAATTTTCAAGGGATTGCCAAAAACTTCGTAACATCTCTTAACAGATGATGTTCAGTCCATTGTCTTTGGCTAACATTTTGTCTCCCCATTCCTGTGTTTAATAACATGGGCTGGCCACATTCATGTCAACCTGCTTGCTACTCTAAACATAGTTAAACAAAAATATCTAGAGAAAAAACAATCAAGAAAACAAATCCAGTAATTATACTGTAGGATTTTTTATCCCTGGCAATTAAAAAGAAATGCTAAAATATTACGAGATGCATGTGTTACTTGATACAGGCAAAATTTTCACAAAAATCTAATGTGGTTCTTGGACCGTATTAAAAAAATCTTGAAAAATAATGATCTGCTGCTTTGAAATACAAGCATATAATACTAGAAGTGGTAATATATAGAATAATTAATATTATACTAGAAGTTAAATTACCTTGCAAACAGCTGCCTGCATAATTGCATCGAATCCTCCCTCTGGAGTGTCTATATTAGCAGAGATTCGCTGTCCTTTCACAATTTCATTGAATTTTTCAGCATCATTTGTTAGTGGCAAAACATGTTTGTATCCAAAGGTGGGTAAGCACTCATATGGTACACTTCTACAAGTAAAGTGAGACAGCTTATGGACAATACAGAGTGAAAAATCACTACAATGACTATGTCGCAGGCCTGTCTGGATTAGTTTTTTCATCAAGTATCTCTCTTCTGTGTCTGAGATAGATCTAATGAAAAACATAAGATAATCGAAGAGCATCCAGTGAGGTGGGCAATGCAAACAGGTCTGCATAAAGCCTGGGAAATGCCTCCTAGAGCAGAGTAATTCCGCCAGTTAACAACCTGCAGCCCTTGCCCTGCTCCCTGCTGTGCCTTGTTTTCATACTCAGCAGCACCGTAGGAGCTGTAGTCCCTTAATGACATTCGGAGAGCACCACCAAGCTGCTGCAGCCCTGCTGCAGGCTGCAGAGCACGGCTTCTCCTCCGCCTAGGTTAGGCAAGGGCTTGGAGGACACTGCTAGACCTTAAGGGGAAAAAACAGGAAAACAGCATTGATGGGTAAATGAAACTGCAATTCTGTGTTGAGTTTGAGTTTGCTCCTGCTTAGTATAGCAATTTCATAAAATTCTTATGTATATGTATATTCTAGGAAATTAAAGAAAAATACATAGTTATTCTGCATACCTGTTTGCTAACCCATTAAGCACATTTGTAACTAGCAGAAAAAGCTAAAAAGCAGAATCACTCCCAGGTTCCTCTCTCCAAATAGTATAAGATTCAACAGAATAATGATCAGAGTGCAAAAAAAAAGAAACAAATCTTGTTTCTCAAACAGACTCATTTACAGCTGGAAGAGGGCAGAAGTTCCAGTGAGGCTGCTGAATTGCATTCGATCCTAAAGATTAATATTGTGACTTATTGTTGGCATGCAAACAGATGTAGGTATTTTCCCTGCCTACCTGCAAGGGTTGTTTATTTCTGCAGCTGTAGTTTTGATAAATGGTGAAACTGGTTTTTCAACAAAAGATCCAAACCCCAGTCTGAAGTTGCTTGTCAGTTTTGACATTTCTTTAGAAAGAGTTGAACCCAGTTCTTTGATTGTATTCAGATCATCATCCATGGAGGCTGAAAGATCCATGAGGTAATAGAGATCAACTGGATAATCTTCAGTTTGGCGAACCTTGATCTGTATTGTTTCTTCATGCCCTATCAAGGTCATGGGAAAATGGGATACGTATTAGCACTTCTACACATAAGTTATGAGCAATGCCAATTTCTTCCTAAAATTATACATAAGGTAAAAATTATCTAGTATTTTAAATCACCAGCAGAATTAACAAAATAACTTCAAAAATTTTCTGTCAACAAAAGTCTCAAACGAGGGTCTGAAAAATTGAAAGCAGTTCTAGTGGCTTTTTTTCTGAACTATGCCATAAGCATAGACTTACAACAGATTGCTATAATTTGAAAAAATGCAAACCCACTTCAGCTATATGCAGCTTTAGAAAATTTAGATATGAAGTGAATTAAAACTAAAGGTAGCACTTATGGGACATACCATACTTTAGAAATGTAAAGAAAAACAGAGTGTACACACAGGTTTTATTCTCAGTTCCAACTGAGACTTAACTGGGGGTGTCTTACATTTCTTTATTCCAAATATTCTCCAGGAAAATTTCATATCTCAAGGACCCCAAGGTGGGTCTGGAGTATTTCCATAAATGTCACTCTACCTTGTAAATGCTCAAAGCAAGATTTCAGGCTGTCTCTGAGATACGCTGTTTGCCAGACCTGCGGGTGAGAGGCACAGGAGCAGGGCTGGGGAGGTGTGGGGGGTTTCCATTCTCTTCCTGCCACCTCAATGGCAAGGGAATAGAAAGACTAAAAAAATACATCCGTGCTTTTATGAGGTACTCAGCATTTCTGAAAGAATTCTGAACTCAGTCAAACCTAGTTTTCATCAGACGAGTCAACAGATAATTTTGGACTCAACACAATTGTTTTATGTTTATTCTATTGAGATTTTTTTTTTTAGACTGTTCAGTCTGAGAATCTTCAGTGTATCACATTGTCTGAAAAAAAAATCCTGCATCTATGAACTAAGTGACTTACCTGGTCGCAGCCTGAGAGTTAATTTTTGAGGAGAAATCTGTGTGACATCAGAATTGTTCTTCTCAGTCGCTACAGTTAGGGGCTTGTTTCTCTGAATTTCTACGTCTGAAATGGGAAATTCAATCAAATTCAGCTGGCATCCTTTTGACAAAAGGTTTTCTGGGGTATCACACCTCCCATGAATTCCAGCAGAGTCTGTGTAATTCTAAAGCAAACAGGAGAAGGAATACATGCGTTAAAGGCATTTACTGACTGTCCACCAGCACCTGGCTGACAAAAGGTCAATCCAATGCAGGGAGCAGAAACAAAGGTGCAAGTTAGTGCCAACTAGTGCAGAAAAAGATCTAGGTGGCACAGAAGTCTAAATTTGCCCTTCATGGATCCTGTCCCATAGGTGTATAATTAATGTAACTTACACTGACTTGATGTGCTGGGAGAAACCGCTCTATTGTTGGGGCTGGGAATTGTGCCACTCACTGCATCTGGCTTCTCACAGTACTGGGAACGATAACACAAAGCCCCTGTGAGCCCCTGGTTTTTCTGTTACAGGATTGTGCCTCAAATTCATCGGTCTTTCCTAAACAGTTTTGAACTGCTGATCAAAGAACATCATTTTGTAACAGAAGGGGTCTCACAAATAATAAACTACAAAATTTGTGACAAACCGACAGTGGGGTACCCAGTGTTCACTGTTTTTTTCTCACCTACTCTTTCTCCTCAGCACTAATTTACCATGTTCCCTGAAGCAGGTAGCAAGTCCTCGTTACTCTGCCTGGTGCTCAACAAGCACCGTAGCCTCCTCCCCCTCATGCGGGGCTCCTGGCATGACCACATCTCTCTGGTAACATTTGGCCCAGTGTCCTACTTGACCTTCTCCCGTGTGGAGGAAATCACAAGCCCATTGATATGAGCTGGATAGCTTGCAGTTTATTTGTTACTCATTTCAAAGCACTTGATATGCATTCCTTTCCACAACACTGCTGCAGGGTAGGTACTATCCCCACGTAGCGGTGAAGTTGATGGTTAGTTTTACAAAGAGGCTTCTATGCCTTATGGCCATTTCCTAGAGCTGTGTCTAGAGTTTGGATCCTCAAAATCAGTCAGCTGCCTCCTGAACTGCAAACTGCTCGAGCCCGCAAGACCTTTTGACCGAAACCTGGGCAATGCCCCCAGAACCAGCAGTGAAATACTTGGTTCCTGGCTGACGGCCATGGGCCCATGCCATGGGGCCGCTCTTTTCTCCTGGATTTGGGCAAGCACCCTGGGGTTCAGCCATTAAGCCACAAATAGTCTCCAAATTCAGTCACTGAAAAACTTTCCATCCAAAACAAAACAAATTTACTTTAAACCTATTAAAACCAGAACTGGTACTCTTCTTTCCACCAAAACGTCACCCTTCATACCTGAAAATTATCAGGGTTCTTATATATTTTGGTGGAAATACTGTTGAGACACCTGATGGGAACAGTGGTTTATTATTCTTCAGATCGAATCTGATGTCTTTGCTCAGGCAAAAGTCTAGCCAGCTGCTCCTTGAATGCAGTGCGCATAAAAATGTACCATTATAAAACTTTCACAGGGAGATCCATATCGTCTATTTAGTTACATAGTCAGTTGCTGGCTTTTCAAAATGTGTAAAGAGGCAAACTCGTATTTCAAATACAATTACAAGGTGTGTTTTTATCCTACAGAAAACAGCGGTTTCTTTGGAGATGCTTGTGTTTACTGACACTAAAGCTCCTATGGCTTTTGCACTCCTGATGTGTTGTCCTCTAGCAAACAAGTGAATGAGCCTATGAACAAAGAAAATAATCATGTTTACTATTCTGAAGTTTTCAATAGTTCCACAGTTGCTTTTTTAAAAAAATTAAAAAAAAAAAAAATCAATAAATTGTGTTTCATTTTTGGTTTCTGAAAATACATGTCAGCTGTCAAAATTCAAAAGATCAAATTTCATTTCAAGAAATGTTTAAGTACAAACATCAAAACTACTGCAAACACACTAATGAGGGTCAGAGGGTTTTCCCATGGTACCATTTTTTGCAAACTGCTACATTATTTTTAGAAAACTTATTTTTAAAAAAAGTGCTGTTTCGTCTTTGTCACCTACTTCATAAAGCAGTGTGATAGTCCCATCCTAGGTATCATTTTGCTATTCAAAACAGCAAGAAATACTTTTAACAGCAAAGGTGTAAATCAGAAACTATAATGAAAAAGACTTATTTTATTTCTCTATTATTTCTGTCAACTTTTTAATTGTGATAGCTGACTATCTTGCTAACATTAATGAACTAAGACCTAAAATATTTACTGTGAAGTAGGGAGATATTATTTAGCATCGGCTACAGGTGAAAGTTTTAAAAGCAGAGATGTTAAGTGACTTGCCCAGAGTTACACAGAAAGTCTGCAACAGATATATAGGAAACAAATCCAGATATTTTTTTTAAGCCCAAAGTTTTAGCCAAAACACTTAGACCTATATCATACTAATTACAAAACTGACACTATCATCATACTTAAAATCAACCACAGACTAATCATTTGTATATGCAAGCTGACTGGAGCACCTTCTGTTTACACTGCCTGGCTTTGTATGTCATATGTAAGAGGTAGTCTGGTCTCTGACTTGATGTCTGGTGCTTCATCATCAGTGCTGTGGGTGAGTCAGCACCGAGGCTGATGACTTGAGCCCCTCTAATGGCACTTTTATTTCTGCCTTAGATGAGGAAGGTTGGTTTTAAAAAACAAACAAACAAACAAAACCCCACCACCACCAAAAAAACCCCAACAAAAAAAGTCAGTCTAGATTGAATTCCACTTTTGATCCCCAGGAAGGCTTCACTAAGTGCTGCATGCATTACAAAACCACAGGCTGACCCAATTAAGTCAATGCTTCATCACTCAGAGCTACTACAAATACTTCAAGTCTTACTTCAAATTTTTTTTGTATCATTTACTCTACCTCTTGAAAACACCAAGCGCAGTGTGGTCCAGAAAGCAAGCAGTCTTCACAAGTCACTGTGCTTTCCAGAGAACAGGTCCCTGAATTTAAATCCAAGAAGATACAAGACTATTAATAATGTGTTTAATCATTCAATATATGAAGACTCTTGTCATTTATGGAACGTGGGAGGTGAAAAATGCACACATTTAGCCATATATAGGACTACTGATAAAATTCCTTAATAACAGTATTTCTATTGGTAGAAGTTTAACTGTAATAAAAAATAAAAATCAAAAATTGCTGGCGATTAACATACTTACTTTTGCTTTCTTTATAGATGACAATCACTGAGAACATGTTACTTGTTTTCTCCAGTGCACTGGATAAAGTGTTACAGGTATTTCTGCTATGGTTCAGGTAAGACATTTCCAGCATAACCAGAGATATTAAAAAACAGATTTATGATAATTCTATATGCTTAAAATTGCTTCACTTGGGTCTATATATACTTGATATGCTTTTAATTTATTGTGCAAGTAACCAGGGAAACACAGTCATATGTATAGTGTTAAGGTTCTCAGCAGATCAAACAGTGATTAGTATAACCAAAATTACTCAAGTGCCCATATCTTTCATACATGTTGTGCTATGTAACGACCACATAAATCTTAGATGAGTTTGCAGGGTAACCTATAGCAGTCTGTCAAAAAAAAAAAATCATTAAACAGAAACGAATTATTAAGTACAGAAGACAGAAAGCTATTTCATATCAACTTTAAGCAAGAAATAATACAAAAATGTTTTAAAATGGATCTCCCTGCCCCTGAGCCTTACCTTGCACATAGTTATTTCTTTGCAGAAATAGGAAACAGAGGCAAAGCAATTCAATCCCCATTCGTTTTCAGTGCTGGCTGTGTGACAAAAAAATATTAGCGTGTTAATTATCGTCCGCATAAAGGTAGAATGTTGTAAAAATCATACATTCCTGAAGGGTCTGTTTTCAGATGTCGCCTACACCGGATTGTGAGGAGACTTCAACCCTACCAGGACAGATCATGAATAAAAGTGAAAACAAGGGCTACCTGGGCAGGTAAAGGGGACAAGCTGTGTATAAAGTAACGTGAACATGGTTATCACTTCCGTGTTTTCCTGACTCCTTATAAGGTATAAGGGGAAAATTCATTCAGGTGAAGATTTCTGTCAATCCCAGTCACTCTGGGTCCTATAGCAACCCAGCCAAGAGAGCGGGTTTTCGTGTCTACAGCAACTCTTAAACGTCTTCTCTAAAATAATGCCTTTAATTGTTCCCTGAGGGAGTGCATTAGGTAGATGGATCATTATGATTGCCAAGTGAGTATACCTGTACAGATGTAAAAATCCCATTTTTTCAGATTTCCTGATGTGGAGGGAAAATTGTAAAGGCAACTGTGAAAAAAACAAACAAACAAACAAAAAGCAATCATTTATTATAACTGAGTATCTGTCTTCAGTAATTCAAGATACATTTATTTTATTAACATTGCAAACTGAAAAGGAACTGCTGCAGTTGTGGATTTTTTTAAATATGTAGAAGTAGGAATAACTGCATACCCAGGTCTGCAACTGACTCGGAAAAAAATTATGTCAGCTTTAACTCTGTGTAATAAGTGGCCAAATATTCTACAGCACAGCTACAACAACATAACAAGTTATGGCTATTTCTTTCCTCCTGCCCTGCAACCTGAAATGAAGGCAAAATATGCATTTCTTACAACATTATTAAAAGGAAATAAAATTATTATATGTAGATTTCATCTCTTCACATCCTTTATGCTCTGCTACTGTCTGTTTTGAAAATAATCTGTTCAGGACAAGCCCTGTCTTATCATAAGGGTTTGCAACAGCCTTTACACAGCGCAGCATAAAATTGTGATTTCATCAGCTGTGTTGCTGGTCTGAAAATATATATCCTTTTTTTCTAAAGTCAGAAATCCTACCAAAGTTAGCTCATAAGGACCAGGTTGCTCTCACCAAAAGAACTGGCAGGATCAGATCTCCCTTTTCAGACTGGTGATAGCATCCCCCTCAATGATCTTGGGGCAGGATGCGACAGTAGGGATGGGTCTATACTAGTTAAGCTCAACATGCCCGGAAACATTCCTGGGCACTGAGGCCAACTGGCACAGAAAGACCTGAGTTTATGCTTGCAAATTGCCTATTGGGACCATTCTAGCAACCAAATTGTGCCCAGAAATTGTTTGCAGAGAGTGTTAATTGGAAGAGGTCAAATTCATGCCAGGGAGCATTTTAACAGTTCAATAGCAGAGACAATCTCATTCTAGTGCCTGGAAATATTCCCAGGCACATCTGATTTTACTAATATTTACACAGTCTATGGGTAGTTTCATAGCAGCTCAAGCTGGATTACGTCAAGCCTACCTTTGCTCTGCCCTTGTGTTCCCACCCTTTCACTCCTACCAGTACTCATGTCCAAACAAACAGTGAGATGATTCAAACTGATCCAATTAAAATCCAGTCACCTTCCGTGGGGAAGGTGGGGAGCTACTTTTCACCTGGGTAGGTCCCTTGAACTGTGTAGTTTCCCAGTCCAGAGTGCGCTCAGCTCAAGAGAGGGAGCGGGAAAGACTGGCAGATTTGGCAGGAAAGGTGGGAATGCATTAGGCTGAATTTAGCCCAGCTTAGGCTGTTGTGGAACCATATCTTAACATTTCTATTCACAACAGCATTCCTAACTCTCCTTCAACTGCTTTCTATACCTTGGAGTGTCCTTTGTAAGGCACTTGTTCAGCTACAATGATTTCCTGTGGCATGAAAAAAAGCATCGATTAGATTATGTTCCATCAGCTGGTGAAGACACAACTCTGTGAGGACACTGTCTGCAACTACATAGAGTCAAAAAGAAGTGGAGTCAACTGAAAATGTTTGCTTATACTAAGAAAAATATCCTCCTGTAAGTGCCATCCAAAAATCTCCTTTCCCCATTTTTAATTTACATTTGTGCACGTGTCCTTTAATATTGTTGCTATGTCTACAGCCTTGTGGAGCTTCAAAACCCAGTGCTTTCCTTTTCAATGTAGAATGTCACTTTGTAGTTCTTACTAGCCCCTGGTAATATAACAGCACTTCAAAGCATGTCCTCAAACGACTTGGTGGCAGTCCTTCAGCCACCAAAATGTACCAGACACCAGCAGTGTCCCAGATTAAGGACCAGCCAGCTGAACAGCTGGCAACTAGCAAATGCTTATTCTTAGATCCAAGACATCAAACTTTTTAGTGTAGAGAGAATGAATAATACAGCCTACATAAAACTTACAAATTCTGTTCGATATTATCGGTTCCCCATTTGCTTGTGTGGTAATATTTTGTATAGGTCTTGGCAACAACAGCATGACTGGAGGCTAAGCGCCTGCCTCTGAATGGGATGGCTGCCAAAGACTATCTGAATAAATCTTGCATGAATAACTAAGTTTCTGCAAATTATTAAGAACAGCCGCCCCCCAGATTACCTGGAGAGAGCAGAGAAGGAAAAGAAAGTAGCAGAACAAACAGCAACAAAAACACACAGGAAAAAAAGGGAGAAAACTCAAGGTCAGTTTTGATTTTTAAAAACTCACACAATGAGAATCTCACAAGACTGGACAGAGTGGGAATAAAAAAACCCCACTGATATGGGCACAGCAGGTTAAGAGAGATCCAGGAAGAGAGACAGCATGCACCAAGAGTAGATCTTGGGCAAGACAAGAAAACCTAGGCAGGAAGCTGACAGATGATTCTTGTTTTGAAACTTCCCTGAATATCTTGTGTAGTATCTACAGGTAAGTTGACCAGGAAATTCCTCTACTAGTTTAATGCTTTATCTGCTTTAACTATGACACATGCTAGAAGAGCAGAATCACGATCTAGAGTAGCCACGCTGATACGAGGAGGATGAGTAAAAGCCTTTGAGGTCCTGGCATTGCTTGGTTTGGTAGTAAGGTTCCCCTTCTCTGTAAGGTTTGTAAGACTGAGCCTTGTTTTGTACACCCAAACTAGAGGCATCAATTCAGGGAGATATAACAAAAAGGTAGCTTATAGTACAGACAGAACACAATTATTATTGTTTTCATCAGACGCTACATACTTATTTTGCAGCAAATTCTAGTCTCAATTAAATCAGGGTTGTGATTTTATAAAGACACATTGGAACAGAAAACAGCTGTTTATCTTTCAGTATGGGTAATCCTGAACAAGGCAAGTCTGTGGTTCTTTAAAAGATAATAAAATTTGTATAGGACAAAATGTTTAGTGCATTTTCCCCCATACCTGGCACTTACAATACATGAAGATAGCACAGAAAGATATTCTGTTCATCCAATCAACCTTCAACAAATTCTGTGGCAAGTAACACAGTACAGAAAGAAAGCAAGCTAATGTTGGGAACAGAGAACAAGAAACTAAAAGCATTATACTCAAGTTGCATTTTATTAATAATAGTGGGCTTTTTTTTTCTGAACAACAATGGTGTATCTTTTTTGGCACACAGAGCTGAATCTACAGGTCCGCCTGGTGGTGGGTCTGTAAAGGTTCCAGAATGGGAAGTGTTTGCCTACAGAACCATGCTTCACCATTGGCTCATTCAAATCTAAAAATTACTTCATTTTAGAAAAAATACCAGCATCTCCTGCAAATAGAGTATGAACTGATATAGCGCAATTACACATACAGGGAGACCAGCCCAAGAGAAAACAGTTCCCTTTGTGCTAGACAAAACCTGGAAGAGGAGGCAAGTTAGCTCCAGTGAAAGCTTATCAGTCAACATAAGAGATCAGTATGTCCTAAGCTCATCAGAGCAAGGAAAATCTCTTTTAATTAGAAGCTGGAGAGCTATCCATATGGAGGAGAAATTCTTGTAAGTGATCTCTCAGCCTCACACACAACTCAGCTCTTAATTCCCAATGCTCTTCTCATACACACTCTTACCCTAAAAGCCTGGAAAAACACAGAGCAATTTAAAGTCTGAATGTCCCACAGGCTGAGACAGTTCTCAGAATATTTACAAAGGTGGAGGGACGTGTCTCCTGCACTTCAGAAAACATTCCTCTCTTCTTGTCCTTCATCAGAGAGTTTTGTGAGACTGGAGGAAGTGAGGCGGGGTCTCCCTACTCTCTGTCATATACAGAGACATTCGACTCCTCAATGCATCTGTCGACTTCATTCTCTCCCTGGTTGGTATGAAATCTGTCTAGAAAGCTCCTGATGATCTCTAATGGGGAATCAAAGTAGACTTCAAAAGCTTTAGTCAAACTTTAACCCAAAATATAGCAACTGAAGAACATGCAAAAGTCTACAGAATGAGTGGTTAAAATACTTTTCTCCCAAAGAAGACATATGTTCTGTAGCTGCACAGTCAAGTGCTTCCGGACTCTTGGACCAGCAGAAATGGAAGGCATTTTTCTTTGGAAAGAGTCTACCCAGAAATATATCCCTCAGCAGCCTGACAGACCCAGTTCCAAAGAACGGCAATGACAGATGTTTCAGAGGATGCCTGTTGATTAGCTAAGCAATGAAGCCTGAAAAAAGTTCCAAGCTTGAAACTTAGACTCCTCTCTAAGGAAACAGAAATTATTTGAGTAGAAACATAGCAGTGTGAATGTCCTGCAAACAGGACAAGACAGCATAGACAGAAACCACACACAAATACTGCAATGATACTGGAAGGACTGTCCTGTCTCTACCTTTGCTGCAGCATAGGTCCTGGTAACACTTTAGGGAGAGCTGGCAAAAACATTTAAAGAGGAAGCAGCAATCCCTAATGAACAGTTGTATTTAATGGGGAAGTTCACAGTGACGGTGAATATGACTAATCGGTAATTAAATTTTTTTTTTTACTTGAAATTTTTTCTGTATATGAAACAATAGTATCACCTATGAAATCACTGTGTAAAATAAATAAATGCATCTGGATTTATAAATCTTAAATGCCAATTGGTACTATTTGCTATGGCTTTCTATGTTTATCAGCGTCACTATTGCTCCAACAGAAAA